AACGGGTATACTTTTTTTTTTTTGTTTTTTTTGTTCTTTTTATCAAGTCTAGAATAAACATTTTCAATACAATACAATTGCACTGATCTTTCCTTTTGCTCAAAGAGCAAAATTATTAAATTCCTCCTTTGAAGCACTGCTAGATATAATGGAGAAATGACTAGTGATTTCCTATCAATCAATTACGCCAAACTCCTCTGTATCATCGGAATTTGCATTCCAGTACTTAAACTTCACAATTGTCATTCAGTTTGGAACTGACTAACAGATATGCATGTGAGTTCATACCTCAGTACCTAGCAATCACATCAGCATGCAGCTCTGCAGGCTGATATGAAATCCTCTTACATTTATTAGTTAAACAATTTTTCTTCTAATTTTTCTACTTCCTGGTTCTCTTTGGCAAAATTGATGTAATGTGCACAAGTGCTGCATCCTGTGAAGGTTACATCAGCAGTGCATTGGTGGGAAATGTCATCTGTAATCACATGAGATCTCAGGGAAAGGCATTTTGAGATTGTTGCATGTCCTAGTCACATGTGCCAGAGTTCCAGGAAGTACAGGGAGATGGATTAATCTGCCCTTAGTAAAAATGGCCGCCGTGAGAAGAATGGCGAGGAAAAGAAAAACAAGGTATGCAAAGAATAAAAAGCCAGCAACTATCTATACATATATGTATGTAGATTGCCATTGCTAAACATTTCTAAAGGTGCCTTTTTGTTGTTGTTTTGAAAATATGGGTAAAGTTCCTCATTTAAAGTTTTTATTTTCATGTTTGCAGCCAGATTTGGACAACATCTACTTTATATTTGTTACATGTTGCCATTCACATTTCATAACTTAAATAGCAGCAATTGTTATTTATTTTTACTTGCTTGAAGATCCTACTCCCCATGTAATTTTGAGGGAGGTGTGGAGTTATTGTTTGCCCTTTATTAACTCTGTCTATACTGTGCTGACAGATCTCATTTTCAGTTGTAATGAGATTTAAACATGGTCTGTCCTAGCAAATGTTTAAAAACTATTGGTTAATGAGAGGAAACTCTGTGCGTCTAGTCTTTCTATGGGGACAGCGCCCTTTCAAATTGCTCCAAAGAAACATCTAAAAGATAACAAATATTTTAAAATTATTTCAGATATGATATTCTAATAGGAACACATAACAAACATATAGTGGAGTTTTCTCAAATTTAACTGCAAAAGTGGAAATGCACTTAAAGGTTGAACTCCAGTCACAAACAAATGTATCTCTAAATGCAGCTCACCTTGCTAGAATACTTGAGACTTTCCTCTGCTGTTTGCCCCAGTTTTCAGTAATCCCTTCCTGAGAGGAAACTTCCTGTATATACAACCAGTCATCTTGACCAGCTCTGTATGCAGCAGGAGAACAGTCGCAATAATGCCCCCATATTTTATTTATTTGTAGCCCTATTGGTAACCAGGGCTACAAATAAACCAACAGGGTACATCATGAATGTTCTAGACCCACTTACTTGGTGATAAATGCCCCAGGCACATTCCTTCTTAAGGTGAAATTTTCCTAGTAGTGTTTAAATAATGGGCACCAGTCAATTTGAATATATTTTAGGATATTTTAATGTGCACGTGCATGAAGAATAAATGGGAAGGAGGATGGAGGGAGCACAGGATATCTGATGGTTGAATTACATACACAATATTTGGTCTTCTGCATGGTCTTCTAGCTATGTAAATCCTTCTATCACAAAACTCTACTGGCTGTTATACATCTCAATATAAGTGGCTCATCGTAGAACTGAGGTTACTGTGTATGTATGCTCCAGTCTTTAAATCAAGGTAGGATAGCAGTGGGAAGGTTCATGTGGTGCTTCCCAGCTCAGTCAGTCACTCTCCATCCCTGTGGGGGACAACTGCAACTTTTCTTCCTTAAGGGCCTAGTATTGCACCATCATATAGCCAGTATCTTAGGAACACCTTCCATGACGGGAGATCTCCACATCTTCCCATACACGTAGGCCTTCAGGCTTGTGGCCTAGATTGGTGGACCACAGATGTATCCTCTCAGGGTAAAGACCATGTACCAGGAAATGCTTCAGATATTTAATAGCTCTCCCAGCATGAACAGCAGGCTCCCCAAACATACTGATTGGCCAGGCATTAAACATCCTTAATGTGAAACATTATTTCTAGCATACTCTACTGGAGAACACTAAAAACAGCAGGTAACTGAAAATAATCACTGCACACGTAATCAATTACACTGACAAATCACAAAAATAGACAAAAAGAATTTAGGGAAAAACTACATCCCCACATATTGATTAGTGTTGACATCACTATGCTGCCTGTGGCAGTTGTGTTGTTGTTTTGGAAAAGGCAGTGTAGCCTCAGCACTCCCTGCTGTCAACTGCCCTCCTCTGCTACCCCAACCACCTCTACTGCTCTGTACAGCTCGGCACCCCAGCTGTCTGTTGCCCCAGAGCTGAGGACTCTGAGAATGAAGAGAGCACAGTCAGCCTGCTCATCCCTATAGGTGGTGCAATACATGTATCTCTTCCATTTACTGAATGCAGAACAACCCTCTCTCTTATGTGCACACTGCTGTTAGTCCAGCCCCTCGCTGCTCACAGCTCCGCTTCCTATAGTTGCCTTAAAGCGGACAGTGTTAAGAACAGATATAACTAAGAAGTCAGGCCATTGTGTACAAAAGGTAAATAAAACAAAGTAGCAGGGACAACAATGCAATGCTTGCACTAATTGTGAGTTATCTAAGTTCTTTCTCAGCAGCTGAGCTACAGGATCCTGAACCATGGAGCATAGAGTGCTGGACTAACAGAAGTGTTTACACAGGAGAAAGGGTTGTTCTGCATTTGGTAAATGGGAGGGATAAAGGATTGTATGCACAATTAAAAGAATTACAATGTACTGCATGCCTGTAGGGTATTAGCTGGATGCATGTACAATAACCAAGTGTTGTACCACCACTAGAGATGAACAAGGTGACTGTGCTCTCTCCTCAACGTCCTTCGCTCCTGAAGCAACTTACATTTAGGTGCTGACTGGAGATCAGCTTTAAAGTAAAATTTGACGTGATCTTCTACATTTTACCCATTTCTGTCACTATATTTTCATATTCAAAATAAAGATGTGCAGATGAGCCTGTAATGGAAGCTACAGTCATTATTCAGCCAGCCTGTTGAAGGGAACCACATTGGTAGTGCATTTTTCAAAGTCACAGCTCAAGATAAAAGTTTTGAAGGGGTGTAACCTTCTATTGGACAAACCATTCCTTAGTGGCCCTCCTTATAACTGGATATAGATATCCTGGTGACAATTTTTCTAACATGAGATTTTTTTAAAAAATTGAGCAGTGTATAAAAACAATTTGGGTATGAGTGTCAGAAGCTAATGAATAAATCGCCTATGCTTTAACGTTACAAATCCAAGTATCTAAGAAGAAAAATATACCTCTATACTGTATATAGCCTTTATTTATGATCAATTCCTTCCTTCTGTCATCCTAACTTGATACTGATGCAGATTGATTTTGTTGAAGACAAAGGAGCAAAGATTTCTTCAACCTTCAGGGGAATTTCATAGGTAGTGATGAGCCTGGGCTTGGTGCAACCCCAGTTTGCCTGTTAGCCCAAGCCGAATCAAAACTGTGACTGCTGCCCCCTTCTCCCAGCCTAATCAGTGGTGGAGAGGGGCATTCCCTGTCCCACAGATATATGTTTGGGGAATGCACCTCTCCACCATTTTTGGACTGGGAGGGGGGAGTTGCGGTCACAGGTTTGAGTGGACTCGGGCAAATTGGCACCATGTGAACTAATAAGAACAGTTCATTGGATGTTTGCCCAACCAGCTCATTGGATTTACTTGTCCCAATCACCAGTACTGTTGTATTTATGAAATTGTTTATCATTATGTGCCTTCATAAGCTTTCCTTCTTAAAAAATCAGTAAGTATCTTAGTTTTTTTTCTCTAACCAGCTGTAGCAAACCTTTATTTGTTTTATTTTTTCAAAAGCATTTGACACGGTACCACATAAACGCTTACTACACAAGTTGAGGTCTATGGGCTAGATTAAATGTGTACATGGATAGAGAACTGGCTACAGGAACGTGTCCAGAGAGTATCGATAAATTGCTCCTTTTCAGATTGGACTAGGGTCATGAGTGGCGTGCCTCAGGGATCTGTGCTAGGCCCCATGCTATTCATCCTGTTTATTAACGATATCAGGGAGGGCGTAAATAGTCATGTTTCCGTGTTTGCTGATGATACTAAAATTGGAGGGTAATGGACACGGAATTAGACACTACAACATTACAGGAGGACCTGGATAAAATAGGGGAGTGGGCAACCACATGGCAGATAAGGTTTAATGTTGATAAATGTAAAGTAATGGTGATAGCAACATCAGCAACAAACTTTTTACGGTAAACTCCAAAACAAAGACCAAAGGCCACCACCTAAAACCAGTGGAGAAAAGATTTCAGCACAAGGGGCGTAGGGGGTTCTTCTCAGTTAGAGCGGTTAGGGTCTGGAACTCGCTGCCACAAGCAGCGATTTCAGCTGTGAGTGTGGAATCATTGCAAAAATGTTTGGACAATTTCCTCAGGGACCGTAACATACAGGGGTACAGGTTAGGGATGCACCGATACAAGCATCGGTATCGGCCGCGATACCGAGTATTTGCATGAGTACTCGTGCAAATGCTCGGATGTCTAAAACAGGTACACATGAGAATAAGATTACACATGAACTCATACACATGTAGATGCACATGCATAAACACAATAGGTTGGACATGTGTCTTTATTTAACCTCAAATACTATGTTACAAACAAAGCCTTTATATGTAATGGCAAATATGGTTGCCTCCATGTACATGTTATCTCAAACTATACATAAAAGCATTGTTTTTATGAAAACACATTGATGATGATGATGATAAAAAGAATAAAATAAGTATTTAAAGACTATATATAACCTTAAAGTAGTTCTGTTTCTGTAAACAGGTGGTCTGGCCGTAATCACCGTGAGAAAATTGGAGTTCATGTGTTTTTTGACCAAGTGCTAAACATGGAGCCATACTGTAGAGGTCCACTATCTCCCACAGATCCTGGGACCTATCTTTATGACCTTTCTGCAGTGGTGATGCATCATGGTAAAGGATTTGGTTCTGGCCACTACACAGCATATTGCTACAACACAGAGGGTGGTGAGTTTAACAGATGAGCATTTATATTTTATTGTCTGTTACCTAATAGTGATTTTAAGTAGCTGTGAATTTCTTTTTTTTATCCTGTTGTGTTTTTTTCTTTTCTTTTTTTTTTAAACACACCACTCTGCATATTGGTACAAAACTACATTCAATAAGCAGCACATTAAATACAGATCAGATGCAATGTGAGTTTGGAAACCACCTAGATTCAATAAAACAAGTCAGTCTCTCTCTCGCTCGCTCGCCCACCCCCCTCTCTCATCGCACATCGGCACAGTCAACTTTGGTTAGTATAGATGTTGGCTAGCCTTCCCACTAAATATTGCTGCATCGTAATTGTGATATATACACTCTCTCTCCCCCTTCTCTGTCTCGCCCTCCCCCTCTCCAAAGATGTGTACCTTCTCTACATGTGCAGAACTTTATGGAGACATTTCATTATTAAATATATAAAAATGCCCACTAGTTCTAAAAGCTTGCAACTAAATCTTGTTTGTTTAGTCCTTTAACAGAGGTGTAACTAGGATTATGAAAGACATTGGGGCACATCGACACAATAGATTCTGTGGCACATGGTGGGCATGGCTACATTGCACTTATTGCTGCAGCTTCTGCAATGGTTTCCTGAGAGTTCCCGGTGCTTAAAGTAGAACCAGAATCTGAGTAATCAGCCCAGACCAACTGCTCACAGCCCATGATAATTCTCAGCACTGACCAGCTACCCACAGCACATGTATGTTTCAGTCCTTCCCTACTGCCTGCACTATGTGCTGTGTCATCCCATGCAAACTTGTACAGTTAATTTTACAGTTGATTTATAAATAAAATAAATGCAGTAATACAGTTATATAAATAAGACCTTTTTGGATGTTGAATATTCTGTCAAATGCAGTGGGAGCACTGATTAAGCAGTGTCCTCTTCTTCTTTTTGTTTTTTCTTGTAGGGTTCTGGGTTCATTGCAATGACTCCAAACTGAATATGTGCTCTGTTGAGGAGGTGTGCAGGACGCAAGCATACATCCTTTTCTACACCCAGAGGAGTAAGCCACTGAGTGGAATACAAAGCAGCAACAAGCCGAGTGATGCAGGGATTCCTGATCTCCTATTCTCACCTCAGGCTCCGTCCAGTACAGAGGAAAGCAACAGGCAGATAATCATACCCTGACACCACTAGCAAAATTACTGGCTTTTTTCCTTTCTTTTTTGGGGGGTGTTTTTAAATATGTAGACTGGTTCTTAGCTGTGTTTTTTTTATCATCTTGTAAAAGTAGCACCAGAAGACTTACAGTGTGACCAGTAGGTCCTCCTGATGGAACTTGGCATATGGCTCCCATGTGTGTCTGCATGGCAGGGAAATGGCACCATCCTTCAAACTGTCTTTAGCGCAGAGTTCTGAAGATCTCGGGTTGTTTGTATTGTTAAAACTTGTTTTGTTTTTTTTAAATCCCTAGAATGTACAGGATATAGAATGGAGCCTCTCTAGCTTTTATCAATGTGAGGGGGTGTTGTGCTAGACTTTTAATTAAATTATTAGCATCTTTATTGATTATGCGGAGTAGCATTCAATGCCTGTGACAAGTGTCTGCTTCAAAACAGATGCTGGTCTTTTTAAAATCTGAAACCTCTCCATTCTGATATATTTTTTTTGTCTTGGCTATACCACAGTTCATGACATGTTTCAGAAACCATAAGTACAAGTTTTCCATGTAACATGCAACATGTTATACCTTCTTTCATCCTGCATAGTGCCTTCATGCTGGCATCCAGATGACATGTGATTTTATAAATGTTTCTCAAAAATACAGTTATTAATTTATATGCAAGTTATAAACAGAAACAAATCTTATAGCAAACCTGTCACCAGGAAAAATGTGTATAAAAAAACATGAGCATAAAATGCAGACAGGACCAGTACACACTGTGTAATCTCCAGGCCTCTAGAATGACAAGGGGGGGTCCCAAACTACTTATGCAATATTGACTACATCAGCCCCATTTCGCAGTGCAGTGCTATGAGAGGCCATAACATGTTAGACGGAGACGAGGTGTGCCTATGACTTTTAGAACATCTGTATTTGCATGCTGACTATTTTGGGAATCTGGGAGTGGTCTAGAGTACCAAGGAAAAGGCCTGAGGTGTGAAATGGCACATTGAGTGCCTGCATGTATGCCCATGTTTTAGACTTTTGTTTCTTCAATCTTGCAAGTGAAACATTCAAGTTCAGAATGTCATGAATTAGGATCACATTCAATTTAGCAATACATGGGCATGTTTATACTTTTAACTGGCAGAGCAAAGTCAGATGGGCACATTCATTTTATTTTGGCATTAAAGAAAAAAAAAAGTCTAACATGCTGCCAGATAAAAATGTTGGATGACTGTTTTTGCAGCAGTTTAGCTTACTGTCTCAGAAGCATGGACTGTCACATATTTGCTTTCCTTATTTTTCAGATGTGTGATATCGCCTTGAACAGACATTATCACCTTTTCATTTACTCTTCACAATTTGGTTTACCACATACAATTGAGTTTTACTGTATAGCTTAGAAATACAAGTGTATGGGTGCTGCAAACTGGAAACGATCAGCTGGCTGGATCAAATAGAAGGGCTTTGTCCTACTGGCGACATTGGGGTAGCGGATATGAGCCAGATGTTCTAGACGGGCTTTTACCTACTGGTGACATTGGGGTACCAGATATGAGCCAGATGTTGTAGTAGGGCATTTGCCCACTGGCATCATTGAGGTACCAGATATGAGCCATATGTTGTCATAGAACTGAAGTACAAGTAACACATTTATTGTTCCAAATCTGGTTTTTATTTTTACAACTATGTAAGAACTCATGCCCCATGGTTTTAGTAGTGACTACTTTCCTTGTTGGAGTTTACGATTAAATCATGAGGAATGACCTTTGGGACTGAAATACGTCCTTTGTGATGTAGCCCATTTCAACGTGCCCACTAGAATCATGGTTGTTACCAGGAATAAACCAGCATCATTTGCTTTGTGTGTTGACGTTGTTGGAATGCTTCTTCATAGTAGTTCTAACAATTGGCACATTGAGCTAAGCAGGTATGAAGGTATTGATATTTTGTAATTATGTCAAGGAGGCATTGGTTGTACTATTTGACTAGAAGTGTTTTCTATTACATTTTTTTTTTTGTCCGATGCGAGTTTCACACAACTGGAATCCCATTCCTGTTTGTGAAATAGTAGGCCTATTAGGCGACAGTATTGGGCTCCTCTCGGTACTGTGTGTTTCAGCAGTTTGCAGCGGTTTGACTCTTCCTGTTATCTGACACTCTGTATTGGTGGCTTTTCTAAAGCAATATAAAAGTATGTTTTGTATGTAAAGAGTTTTGTTCAACTTCACCCCCTTCTTCTTAAGCTAGAGAGGCAGTTGAACTCAGGGGCTAAAGCCATCTCTCCAAAGCCTCTGTTTGCTATGCTTTATTCAGACAAGATGGTTCGTATACAGTGATTTTAATCTTAAATTAACCCAATTTTTAAGCTGTTAATTCAAGAGAGCTCTGCGTTCCTGTCACTGCTCTCTTCACCTGCCAAACTCAGGAGTCAGTCCATACCCAAGTCCCATACGTGCTGGCACAAAAATGTATTAATTTTTATTTTGTACAATATTGACCCAACTCTTCAATGCTTAATAAATATCTGGAGTCTGGTATATTTTGATTTGCATGTTTTGCTTTTACATTCATATAGCTTTTGCTGTGATATCATGGTTAGGATTTCAATTTGAAGCGGTATTCCGGGCAGTCCTAAAACATTTTTAAAGGGGAACTAGGGAATGTTTTAACATAATATTTATTTACCTTTTAATCTACAAATCTGTGACTGCTGGTGGTCCCTTTCATTTTTCTCAAGCAACAGAATGTGGGCAGGCACTCCTACACCATCACGTACAATGGAGGACCAGCATTGGCAAATCAGAGACTGGCCGGAAGAGCATCTCCGGGGGACTGGTTGTCACAACCGAAATCAATCAGGAGAAAGAATGTAACTGGAGGTAAAAATTACTCTTGCATCATCCCCAAGAAAAGTGACATATTCCTCATCTGCACTGCCCGTAATTAGGTTTTATTGTGGTAGCAGATAAAGCATGTTTACATGCAAGCTGTCATTTTGGCAAATGTAATATTATAAGAAAGGACACCTAGCCAGTTCTGTAAGCAGCTGATTATATCTCGTGAAGGATCCACTGTGTCTAATGGAAAATCTTAAGATCCAAGCTCACCATAGACTTAAGTGGGTGTTTGGATGTTAAGAGCATGATTTAACCATTTGGAGCCTTGTTTGTCAGCTGGCTCTCACATAAGTATACACTGAGAGGCCCAACGAAGTCATCTCGTGGCCCAACAAAGTACTGATGGGGTGGTTATTATAATCTGGCCACTCAGTGTATACAGTGGGCTCTACAGTGCAGTAAATTTGTAATGCGGCTGAAGTAGTGCAGAAAAACATCTCCAATCTCTGCTTGTATGAGGAAACCAGTAGCACTTGAAAATGCAGATATGTCTCATCAACCTTCAGTTATTTCTGTCTGTTAGAGAATTAATGGGCTTGAATGACATATCTACATAATAAGCAATATATTGATGTTATTATAGCTCTGTTACCACATCTTATAACTATAGCAACTACAAACATTGCACTGTGAGTTTTGTAGCTAAACACCTGTCCTGAGCAGATTTTGTGGCCTGGCTCTTTTGATCCTTATTAAGTGCTGCTCACGCAGGCTGTAATAGGGAATTTATATATTTTCTTACTACGAACTGATGAACGTGCCAGTAGACATAAGATGGTACTTGGAAGAAGAAGAATCATAGTATGTTTTTGTAGAAGAATCATCGTATTTATTACAGGGCTTAAACATGTACGGAACCACTGCAGACACCTTAAGGCCAATCTTAAACTGGGGAAATATTATTATTATTATACAGGATTTATATAGCGCCAACAGTTTCTGCAGCGCTTTACAATATAAGGAAGACATTACAATCACAATACAATTCAAGACAAGATGATAAGGAGAGCCCTGCCCGTGAGGGCTTACAATCTAAAAATAGTGCATGAATAAATATATATATATATATAATCTATATCAACATTACGGTTCAACGGTTTTGTTGAGATCCTTCTGAAACATGTGACTATTACCCTGCTGAGGTTTATGGGTTGAGTTACAAAAGGCAAATTGGCTGCTCACTTTGCAAGGGAACTTTTCCTTAGCTTAGTGAATGAGGTGAAGCTCTGCCGACTTCCATCATCCAATCATATGCAAGCAAAAATACTGTTTTATTTCCCTTGTACATGATTGGGTATTCTTCGCAAAGTGAATTTTCATACCATTCACTAAGCTAAGAGAAAATGCCTTTGCAAAGTGAACAGCCTATTTTACTTTTGTAAATGTCAAACCTCAGAATGGGTGCATAACTCCCCCCCACCTTTCTTTGTGACGCCCTGAGTCCTTTTCTAACTTCTAGCAGTGGATGGTTCTTTGATCTAAACTGAATGCTACTTACATATTGACATATAAGTGCCATTCAGTACCGCATGAAGGCCTGATAGCACATTCCCAAAAGGATTGGATCAATGATGCTTTGAGCTCACAGGAAGTGGGCTAAATGACACCCCCACCTGATTTGTTGAATCACTGGGCTAATTATTTTTATCTTAAAGTGAGTTGGGTTTTAATTATATATCTTATATATTTTTATCATCAGGAAAAGCCCTGATTCTCAGCTTGCCAGCGCTTTCTCACTGCTCCTGCCTCCATTGCAGCCAGCAACAACAGCCAGTAATTCTGGATATGGGGTTACCATGTGACCTCCCTTGTGATAGTGCTCTGGTCTAGCAACCTAAAACTAGGTCCGAGCACTGTCTTCACTTGGCATCCAACACCAGCTGCCACTAAGGATTTTAGTGCCAGCTGCAACAAGGGCAGGAGTGCCGAGGGAGCATTGGCAAGGTGTATATCAGGGGTTTAGGGGCCCTTTACACTGGCATTTTGCCCTGAGCAAGATGAGAATGTATCTTTGCAGGTAATTATTGGACACCAGAGTTGTAATTGTACTACATATTCCAAGTGGGAACCCTTCAGATGCCTACACATATCTTTTGGAATGCATTTTTTGAATGTTCACTGATCTTCTGAAACTCTCTGTTGGTGGTTCATATTGATGGATGACCTCAATATTAAATAGGGAGTTGGAAGGGCAGGTGGACCACCCTCAACTTCGTTGGTAAAAGTTGAGATTTGATTATCCCTGGGTTTAGGTCTTCCAGAGAGCTGATGTCGCTGTTCAACGTTACAGATGCATTGCATTAAGGCTATTTTGGGAGTGGAAGGGTCCACTTCAAAGCCCAACTAACTTTTAATCCACAATATATTCAAGATGCATCAATTCAATTGGTAATTCAATGCCTACTATATAACCAAATGGTCATGTTCTCAGTTGACATGGTCTGCTGCTGTAGATCATTCTTATCAAGCTTTAATGTGTTTTTATTTCAAAAGTCCGTTTTCACACCAATGTTGTAAAACTGGTTATTTGAGCACCTTTGAAAAATAACCTTAAACAAGCCTGGTTACT